TCATCTAATCATATGAAAACATATTTTATTATTGTAAATGTGGTGATATTATCACCACTGTTAATGGCTTATATTTGTAAGATTCAATCGATGGAATGTACTGGTTCTCGTCTCTTGTGTCTTAAGTATAAAGTTCTAGTCATTAGGAGCTCTGTTAAATTTAAATTTATTATTTAAATTGTGACTAAAAGATGTGAAATGATTCTTTTTCTCGTTATAGCGATTATATATTATGAGGAAGTTATATATTTTTATTGTTCTGTCAAATAATGAAATGTTTGAATGATGTCTTATAAGCACAAGAGGCGAAAAATTCTAAGAGCTGACTTAATCAATCATAGAGCTCAATCAATATTCCGTATGTACAATTCATATTCCTGCGAGACAACTAAAAGATATCATTTCAAATAACGACTGAAATATATGTATATATGTAAGAAGGCTTTAATTGTTTGCTGTCAGCTAGTAAGTATGTATGTATGTACAATTGTTATGTTTTCTTTTTAGAATAATTATTTAATAAATTATTTTGTACTGATTGTATTCCGTCTTATTGTCTCTAAAAATTCCTACAGGCACATATATTTAATAGAAAAGAAGTAAAAAATATGAACATCGCAGAATAGTACATTTTATTTACAAATCATAGCGAATTCGGAATTACATATAAACAGGTTTACTTATGTAACCATAAGTATATTATATCGAAAATATTTTTGTAAAAGATGTTAATTTTAACCAGTTTCCTAAGTAGGATCTTTATTTACAGATTTAGGAAAAAGCACTCTTGTATCACGCATCTAAAATGAAATAACACCTTGTTTTTAATTGTTAAGTACAAGGATTGCGTTATATTTTGCAACTGATTAAATATGAACATGCATGATACATGAGGCCATTAAGAGAAAATTACGATAGCTGAGCTTCTTTCGGAAGTTTACAAACTGGAAATGTAACACAACTTGTATCGCATAGATATCTAAATTTAGTTACCTAAATTTAAACACCAAAAGATGAAAAAAAATTAAGAAAAAAATATACGATATCTTTCACTCATGTATATTACATAATGCACAAGACTTCAGAGCCTTTTACAATTTTAAAGAATATTATATTGCAATATAAAAATTTATATTATAATAATATCAACCAAAACGCATATATTAAAATTTATTGAGAAAATACTTTAAATTTTACTTTTTTTGTTTCATTTTCTATTCGCTGTAGAAACATAAAATTTGCATAATATGATATAAAGATAGATCTTTATATTTAATACCAATAATATTGTGTAAAATTTTAAATGAAAGGAACATGATTAACTTTACTTTAAAATCTAAAATTTCAATCAAGTAGTCTTTAAAATAGAATCTACTTCTATGTAATCTCGCGAGTTTTATCAAATCCGTCAAAAAGGTCGCTATATTTAAACTTGGATTTTACAAAATTTGTACATAAATTTTCATATTATTTAAATTTGTTCAATTTGTTCAATAAACTCAACAAAAAATTTAAATTCTCTGATTCTCTACAATACTTTTTTTCTTTATCGCATGATTATTTTTTAAATTTAATTTTTAATGGGAAAAAATGTAATTATACTGGGTGTCTCAGAATAATCACGACAACAAGCAAGTAGAGGAGAGAAGTTGAACAAAAAAATTCTTTACCGTGCTCTATCCGCTTACGTTCGTGATTATTCCGAGACATCCTGTATATATCCCATATATCCATGTGTTTGCATCATAAGTGTACATGTATCTAACAAAAATTTCTATAAGAATTCTCACATACTTTTACAAATTAAACAAATAAATAGCATGAATATTATTATATATTTTAGTTCAAAACATAATAGTTGTACGTCAATACTGATTTTATATAATTTCTAATTGGTATCGCATTGCCTCTCTTGTTTTTTCCCCTGTTACCGGAAAATATTAGTTACTTCTGCAACACGCTGGAAGATATCTATACTGTCTCACTTATGATGGAACATGCGCGTATTTTATGTATAAACTATAAAAGAGATTTATAACGAGATTTATAACGTTCTTCAAATCATTTTGTTATTAATAACACGATAACCTGCATAATCTCTGTTTCAAATAATATAACATAAATTATATTACTTTTTGTTTTGTTGAAAGAACGCGCTTTGTTTCACTGTTACCATTACTTCCAGTTTGAGAAAATAGCCTTTGTAGAATCATAAATACAATTCATTATGCAAGTCAAATTATGGCAAATGCAAAACATTTTCATTATTTTTCTCAAAAGATTATACGGAAACAGAAAACTAACAATAATCTCAGTAAAAGATATTTAAATACTAGTTCCTTCAATATTAAGCTAAATCCAATTATATATCGCACATAAATTTAATCAATCCTTTATCGCCGCCATGTCTTCCTCCTTGACCATTAAATTCCAACTGAATTGAATAACAAGTACTATATAGTTTTATGGCAACTTGAGACTATTGTGATAATACGTACCGAAACATATTGATCCGGTTAAATCATATTCAGAGTATAGCAACATAATATAATTTTTCTGTAGAATTAATTTTATATGTAAGGAAATATGTTTAACTTAAACTAACATCAGTGCAGCCATAACGATAATCCCGAAAAGTAAAAAACCAAGCTGTTTCAAAGACTCCTTCGTATTCGTTTCTTTCAATAGATCGGGCAAGATGGTTACCATTCCAATGTGTATAAATCCTCCTGCGGTTAATGGCAATATCCAACTAGTTTTTTCCTCTGGAAAAAAAAAAATAAAAAAAAATTAAATAGCATTGTTCAATCAAAAATTACAATTCTAAATTCTATTCAACTTTATGATAAATTTCATACAGAAACTATCAATAATAATATCCATCATGGCGTTGTATAAATTCTTCAAATTTTCTAAATTAAAAACACTCTAGATATTGCTAATGATACAATAATTTAATGCAGATAATGACAGAAATAATGCCTAATATTAAGTGTTATATAAAATAAAAGAAATATGACTGACAGAATCTTTATAGTCAAATTAAAAAAAAAGGTAATTATTATTTTGATTTCTCGCTGACTTCAAATGTGTGAGAAAATTATTTACCTAAGCTGCCAGAAAAGGAGACAGCAGCCAAAGCTCCGACAATCCCACCGCTAGCTGTGATTAACTGCGCCCGCGCAGCATCCCATCTGCTAAATCCGCTTTTCAACAAAATAGCGAAATCGCCAACCTCATGAGGTATTTCATGCACCAAAATAGTGAACGTGCTGAGGACACCTACACGGAAGGAAATGAGGAACGATCCACCCACAGATAAACCGTGAGTAAAATTGTCGAGAAAGTTCATCAAAAGATTAAGATACCCGGGAAAGGCTTTGCGATTGAAAAATTTGCCGAACAAATCGTATGTGTGCTTCTTTGTCCTTGCTGTCAAATGATTAACAATATTGTTCGGACATTCACTTGCTAATGCAGATTTCATACTGTCAGACTCCTTAAAACCATTTTTTCGTGAATCTTTGATACCATTCGGGATTTGTCTAAATCCATTTTTATGCGGTGACTTTTCCAGGATGGATTGTAGCTGTGTAACAAAAGATTAATTATTATAGACAACTATATTAACTTTAATATTAATAATAATAATTTTAAATAACACTAGATACTACCTCGGCTTTATCCGTCGAGTTTTCTTTTACAAAACCATTCTTCTTAGTGTTCATCATAATACAATTGTTATTATCCATCTCTTTCTCTTCGTTCTCAGCCTTGGTTGGTGTTTTATCAATCTGTTGTTCCGGAATGATTGGCGCTTCCTCATTTGCAATGGCGACGAGTTTTTCGACAATTATGAAGAATATAAAAGCAGACAATATGTACAGACCTGCGGGCTTGGACGCACGATCATCTTTGACTGTAAATAAAATATATATTCATGTAAAATATCTGCGAATGGAAGGATAAAATAAATAAAATAAAATAAATTAAGCGTTGCATTCTATAATCACTTCATAAAATGTGTCGCTTGCAATATCACTAATAATGATTCATTCATATTCATAGACATGTAAACTGTATTCTTTAATGAACCATTGTTTCATGCACGGCATGATTATTCGAATTGCATAATTTATTGTATTGTTCATTTTTTCTGCGAAAAGGCGACGAATGTAAAACAGAAATTTGGAAGTCCATAATCAAGCCAATCAATTTACACACATACTATTCGATTGATCACCTTGAATTCCTAAAGCAATTCGGTTGGAAGGATATTTAATTTACGTGAACGCAGCTGGTAATTCAAATCTGCAACTGACGCACAATAGAATTCGAAGCCCACGCTTAAATCGTTCATAAAGCTCTTGGTATGATGCCCTGAAGGCTGAGGCATACTCTATTAACGTGCAGAACGCTGCAAAACGCATTTAGCGAGCACATATGTGCATGCTACGTAGAACAATTTAGGAATGCCAAATACATCATATATTCACATTGTTATTATATTCAGACGTCTCGCAGTTCCAGAAATGTCAAACCAATAAATTCATTAATGTAGGCACAAATAATGAGTAAGTAAGTACGATCACTCGTTTTTTATCGATGTTTCCTTCTGACAACGCTTTTCATGATATTCACATATGTATTGCTTTGCTTGATAATCTATTAAACGGCATGAATAAATGAATAAATGTTATTAAGTAATGGTATTCGGCCTGTACAATAAATATATTATTGCAAGTAAACGTTATCATTGATCTGCGTTCTCATAATCGATATTTTGTTCATTTTCCTTACGATAATGTCAGCCTTATCAATAGATGATTTTTATGAGATACACAAAATTAAATTTTCTTACAAGATAGGGTTAATCTATTTAATTAAATATTATCACATAAGAGATTATAAAAGTAAAAATAATTACGCTTTCTCTGAAATTCGCTTTCAAATGCTTCCGGCAAGAGGTGTAGAAAAACATCGCCCAACAATGCGCCCACGGCAAAGCTCAAAAGAATCTTCAAAGTGCCGCCGTTTTCTGTAACAAGAAAAATTCATCATTATTTATTTTCTACTATTATTATTCATTTTTCATATCATTTTAGTATTTATTTCGTGTGCGGTTTAGATAAACAGAATGTTTACGAGCTTCTATTGTTGCTTCTCGCACTATGCACATGTGCATTAGAATAGAAATAATTAACAGCTAACTCAGTAAATATTTATTTACACACTTTCTGATGTAATAAAGAATGTTCCGGAATAAATTCTTTGTCGATCTTGAAATTATATTTTTTTTAAATTTAGAAATCAGCCATTATCATAACGTAATAGTGAAGAGAAAAAAATTATGACGAGAAACACTGAGAAATATATAATATGTAAAAATGTAGTTAATAAAAGATACTATAAAATAAACTATGAATGTGTTATGTTTTTTAATATACGGGTCATGGAACTCTAATTGGATACAACAAGCTCGGCTCTGACATTGCCTACGCACTTTTATCTCACATTTATAGATCGCGTAGATAGCACATAATTATAATTCTGTTAATTAAATGTTACATTAACACATAGAAGTTAATATCTGCGGTAGTACAATAGAATTACAAACTGTAAACTACAGAGACATAGTATAAAATTATGCCGGAAATTATGCATAGCAGCTAATGCTTTGAAATAACAAATAGGAAAACAAAATTAGGAAATTACGTATTTAAAATAAACGTGATATTTGACGTGATCGATAAAATGCTAATTTGCAGCAGTATATCTGTAAAAGCAGTTAACAGAAGAGGCCATCGAATGATAACCACTATGATGTCAACGTGTGATTCATCTAAAAAGGAGGAAAAGGAGTATAAATAAATGTGTGTGGAACCTTGATCTCGTTTTGATACGGCTACAATTAAATCAGCGCTCTTTTCTTGATTGATAAATTCATCATTTGCAACTCTTGAATTATAAAGAATTGTAAAAGCGTGAAACATTAAAAATAGAATTATTTTCATATTATTATAAAACTCCAAGTACATATATCTATCATAATGTAAAAAAACACTATCCAATTTAAAATAACCTAAAATGACCGTCGAAATATATTACAAATATGATATATTAATTATTTACGATATCATTAAACATAAATCAAATGTCGCAATTTGCTTATTTTAAAGACGATGTAACACGGGCTCTGAATTAATAAATTACAATACAATTATAAATAAATATAATTTGTTCTCTCAATTATAAAGATCTTTAAATTTAACTATATTAAAAATAAACATGTAATAATATTTTAATAATATTGGAGTTGTGTGATAAGTAGTTTCGGATTTTTCAAATAAATCTGTCTATTTTTTTGTCAAGCCAAAAACGCAGTTTAATTAATATATAAATTAAATATTCGTTTATCGAAGTAATCAAGTTTTGTCCGTATCACGATTTTTTAAGTGTGCTCTTTAAAAAACAATAATACTATCTATTGGAAAATCCAAAATGATTTATAACACAATCCAGTATTATTCCATAAACTTGATGAGCTATATGTTTACTGTAATATCACACTGTTGTTGTTTCTGACAAGCTTTTAGACGAACTTATTCTTCAAGAATTGGAGCGTATCAACATCAATTGGACTGCGTAGAATATGATGAGCAAAACAAGAGGAATATAACCGGTTTCAAAGACACCAATACTGTTAACTAGTTATCGGCATCTGCAGATTGAATGAAAAAAATCTAGCATAACTGGAATCAAAATAGTTGATAAAAATTATTGAATATATATCACCTCGATGCAAACAGATAAAAATAATTAGATAACAAGGTTCTGATTTCCAGGAATTATAATTATTCTGTGAGCAGTTAATTTTCCTTATATATTGCATCATAATAAAAGAAAAAATCGAGAAGTAAAAAAACATTTAAGGAATCAAACTTTTAAAAAATTTCCTTACATTTCGATTTTCCTTCGTATATCTTTTTTAATGAATGTATAAATCAAAAAAATTTTCAAGAACCTACAGGTAATTAAGAGGACGATTACAAGCAACAATCTAAATTACACAGATTAATATAATATAATTACATTATTTTTATAATTATTTTTTTCAAATAATTGAAGAATCAATGAAGGAAATTATTTCAGATGTTCCAGTTCTAACAAAAATTTTAATTATTAAATATTGTTACATAATTCGTCAACGTCATGATTATTTGAATAATATTTCTTTTGCAAATTACAAATTATCACAAAATATAAAGCAATAAAACATTTGCAATGCATATTATTTCGGTGGAAAATAGAATCTAATTATTCCCAAATTATTCCACAATTTTATAATAAGAAAATATTCAAACTTTATAACTAATTTTATACGAATTAAAGATTTATTAGCGAAAACTTTGTAAGTTAGTTCCCTTTTCAAGAGGAACATCACTGAGGCATATTTAATTTTAAATTCTACGTAAAAACATTTATCATACACATCGCGCGCATGCAACTGGCAAACTGTAAAATTAGCAAACGTATTATCTTTTGCCTTACTAAATAATTACATGCAGAAAAACAACGCGTTTCTACGTGAAAGCATAATCATTGTGTACAAGATTAGAAAAAACCTATCATTACACTCTGTTGCGCAACATACGACAAATCTATACAACATTACGTAGAAGATTCTTCTGCATGCATAGTGTCACAATTTAATCTCAATAAAAACTAGCAATCATTACTCTTAAATTAAGAATTATTTTATTGTGATTTTTTTGTCAATATTGCGTCTACCTGTTAAAAAACTCAGACCCCTCATATTTACGTAAAAATATTAGAAAATATTTGTGCTTGAATAATTTAATATATTGCTGTGTATTAATAAAAATTGCTGGATGTCACAAGAATTAATATAAATGTTTGAACAAGAATTAATATAAATGTTTGAATTTAGAAGCATTTCGACGCAAAATAAATTCTAAGGAGAAAACAGAAATGTCATAATGCGCATAATCTTATTCGCAATGTGTACTTGAAAATTTCTTGCGTCATGTCGCATATTGCAACAATTATGTGTATATAGCACACGTTCGTTTAATTTATCAGTCATTTTTTAGAATATACATACAATTAATTTAATAAGCTTTTAAAATACGTAAACTTTTTTCTCTATTTGTTATATAAAAATTACATATAACTGACTTAAACTAGGGAATACAGCATAAGTTAATAAACGAAACGAGAAATAAAGACAAATTATTAGTACAATATGTGATAAATCATGAATTTACATCAAACATTAGAACTGCTGTTAGAGTAATAATTCTGTAATTACGTAATTGTTGAGCAAAGCTTTTCGTGTCTCAAGATACTAAGCCGCGCGATGAAGATATTAAGCTGGAATTACTTTACAGACACGACAGAGGAATTTATACCACCATAATGTGCAACTATTAAAACCTTTCAGTTTAATTTCAAAGTTTAACAAATCAGATTTACCTAGATATATTCGGTTTTCCATTTAGTTCTAAAATAATTTCTACCACAGATTTGTTTTACGATAAATTGACTTTATAAATCTTATTCTCATATTATAAACGTGAGTGAAAATTATTAGCCAAGTTGTTTCTTCACGAGATTTATATATATAAAACATTGACATTTTATGCAGAGTTACGCAGAGAACAGCACAAGTTATGAAAATTAATTTTTTGTATTCGCATATCATGCGCTGATAATGCGTACTCGATGCTATTGCATGCAGTTTTTCCCCAGTTGCGCGATTAAGTATCGAGCACACTATCCAGCACGTGACTGATAAATAATATATCATCACTGTTCGCAGCACAATAGACGTGCAGTTATTTCAATATTCCCGACAAGACGATAAATGCGTCAAGAGATCATAACGACGAATTCTTTGCGGACTTCGAAATGGCAAAATAAACACGATTACGCGAAGAACGAAGCAACTTTACTCTATATTAGACTCAAAATATCTTACATCGTCAACAATGAGATTCTCTTCCCCCATGTAATAAATTTAAGTCTATCGTTTAATGGTAAAAACGTCAAAGAATTGTATCTGTACAATTAATAAAGATTCGAAGTTTAATATCTATTTTATTCTGCAAATAACCGCTTTCAAAATTGTTTCTTAAGGAGAATATTGTGTTGTTCTATTCATTATGCTCTGATTATTTAATTCTGCATTCTTACGATGAATAATTTTTACGGTAGTTTCATGCAGCGCGTTGCTAAGAATTTTAATGTAGCGCTCGCTGCCTCTTGAGAATACTGATACATATAACAATTGTATCACAGTATACGTGGTCCGAATACGTTTTTATTTTCAAGTCTAAAACAGCAGCTCACTTCACGAATATTATTATATAATATTAATATATTAATTCTACAGTACACTGAACACAGTAGGCAAGAGACATAATTCAAACTTATGTTTTTCATTGTCATGTCCTTCATTCTGTATATGTTTATTGCAAAATATGTAAACATAAAAACTGTGCTGTTTTTAATTCGTCGTTAATAATGTAATATCAATCATAATAATCAATTGTATATTGTAATTTATCGATTTTTAGATAATAATGAAATGGCATTATTGGAAGTGTCATTTCCTGACAAATATTTTTGCAGAAAAGTGATCGTAGAAATATAAGCTTTTTATTTAAATTTTATTGTTAATAATACTAAAAAAAAAAATAAAATACATTTTCTTCTAAAAAAATATATTAGTTTGCTTCGTATCATGTTTTTGGATTTGATAAATTAATCATAGGAATTGAGGAAAAATGATACGATAAATAAATATATCATTTCGAAACACTTACGACGATAGAAGCACTTACGAAATTATTATACGCCATAATTATATATAACTAACGATCAAAGTTCATTTATAGATAATATCACAATCATTTGATTAAAAAAATTGAAAAAAATGAGATTACGATTACAAAATTATTACGATATCAATATATAGTTAAAGCTCTCGAAAAGAATTTAATCACATTATGACAAAAATGAAATTGAAAATTATTACATAAAAAAGGTTAATCAATTATTAATCATTTTAGCGACGTAGAAATATGCATATAATATATACGGCAATAATAAAATTATTAAAATGTTATAAAATTTATCGAGCATTTATCGATCAGTCTTATAATTAGTACTAAAAATAATTTGACATGCAGCATTGATGGTACAAAGTCCATGGCAAAATTTATTAATGTCTAAATCAATGCGTTCTAACTATAAAAGAAACAATCGATTCAATCAATTTTCTCCAATACCATTAAATTTCATATCTATCTATTAATAATTAAAATGGCAAATATCATTAAATAATGTCATATTCATCAACTTTGCGCTATATCGCAAAATTCTCAGTAAAGAAGTATTATATTTTCCTTGTTGGCAACTGTCATCGGCAACAGACTTGTAATTATTTCATGCGCAGTTAAGTCTGCCTATACATTGACAATGCAGATTTGTTTTTAAACAAGTGTGCATGCATCCTGTTCTAACAAGTAACATTTAATTACGCATAAAATAATTAAAATTTGATTAAAAAGAACAAACTTTTCACTTTATATTTCTGCAATAAATTTAAAGAGTATAAACGGCTTTTATAAGGTTTTGTAAACAAACATATCAACAGTCAGCATATCTATGAAAAATATTGCACTTGGATATCTTAATAACACGATAAATGTTATAAAATAAAAATCTGCACGCGTTTTATTTTATTTTCTTTTGAATTACGTTTTTTTCATTGAAACTTTTTGTAAAATGTTTATAAATCTATAAATACAATTTTTTTATAACTTTTATAACAAAGATTCGTAGTTAACTCATTTGAGTTTTTATCAAACCTATTCTTGACGCTTATTTCCTATCAGGAAGTGAGACATATATCAAGAAAAAGTGATAAGCCTATATTTGGATCATTTCCTTTATTAATTATAAAAATAATCATAAAAATAATCATAAAAATAATGCAGAAAGTGAAGAGTTTAGAATTGAAGAATTGGATTAAAATTATAAATGCGCGTTTAGACGAAGTATATGATGTAGTCAAACATGAAGGTAACTTTTCTAGTTGTTAAGAAAGTAGAGCAAATTAAAATGAATATGAGTCAAAGTTTTTAATTCGAAATTCGATTCATACTCTCTCAAATTCTTTGTTCAACCGTCATACTGTATTAAACTATAAAAGGCTATAGAACAGAGTTTGAAAACCTCTGTTCTACGGGGGATTCTCAATGCTAAGATAATTGAGCAATTTTATCATGTGCGCAAGATTGCGTAATAATTTGATTTATATATGAATCAAAATAATATTTGTCAAAATTACGTTACGCTATTTATTCCAGAATCTAGGCTACTGACAATGAGACAAATAAAAATGATATCATACACGCAGAACATTCAATCCTACGCCATGACCATGACTAAGTAATGATAATTAAATGATAACTATATCGATAAGCAAGCATTTTTCGTGTCATTCTCCTTGCAGCACTTTGTGTAATAATTTAAATATTACAAGAAGTTATTTATTTATTATTTTATTGGTTTTACACGATTGAAAAGAATGTTGCAATATAAATTATAAATAATTTAATACAATTTTCGAATTGCTATAAAACTTATACAATGAAAGAGAGAGAAAGAGAAAGAATAATTAATATGTACAAAATTTATATTTGCAATACGTTTCTTCATGTTTTACATAATGAATAATACAACTACAACTGTGCAACAATAAAATGCATAATCATAATCATAGATATTTGATTTTCATATTGTAAATATAAAAATTTAAAAAAAATATATAAAATATAAAAAAATAAGTAAAAATAATTATTAAATCAGAGTAAAGAATAAAAAGTTTACAGTTATAAAATTTAGATAAAATATTCGCACAAATTTATATTTAAATTTATGCAAGTCTGACATTGAGTTCGATCCACTCTTGAAAAAGGTGTTAATTCAAAAAAGTTGTTCAATGAAATCTTATCATGAGAATTGAGTCAAATGATATTACAGAAATTAGATGTGATAGCAATTGCGATCATATCGCGTCTTTTATTAATAAATAGGAATAGATTTATCGACAAATTTTTACCGCCGGTTTTCAGATCCACGCCATCCTGGATAGGAATGAGCCACAGGGGAAAGATTCCCGTGAGTCCGACCATAGTGCTGCCAAGCAGAGAGAATATCCATGGGTTGTAAGAAAAATATTCTACGATCTCATGCCACTCGTTTGTTCCTCCGAGGATGTCGCATGAGAGATATGCAGTATTCGTACAGTTGTAAGTGTACTCGTACGCCGCTGTGGCTGCCATGTTTGTTGCTGCGTGCTATCTTGTTTTGTCGGAATCCTCTTAAAATTTTCGCGTATCACTAATTAACAAACAGTGTCAACCCGTATATCAAACTGGGTCAAACAGGATTTGGAAGGAATCTCCTTTCACGATGGAAATGATGTACACACGGCGATCCGGAGTGTTCGTTCTCTCCGTAGATAACCTCAACGCGACAGTAGAATTGCCGAAAAACTTTTTCGTCGAGCCGTATCGAGGAAGACGATGTTATCGCTATGACGTGATTGACGATGCGTGTGGAGTTTAGATTGCGACGATGATAAAAGAGGAAGACTCGGTGGAGATTTCGGCGTTAGCCGATTGTCTAGATGCTCCTGTGATTACATGTACTCGTCTCGAACGTTGCGAATTCATCAATAATCTTAATGCTAATGTCAAGACAACGACCGCCGAGCGACCGACTAGCCTACACTGAGGACTGAGCACGGACGCTTGGAATCAGGTTGTCGCCGCTGCCTGTCGCAGCCTCGTTGATTTGCTCCAGCCTCTGTCGTTATTTCATTCCGCCGTGTCGACGCGCGGACAAAGGCATTAATGCCGCCGTAGTCATCAATGTCCCCGATCGTGAGACCTCTGAGACGCACAATGCACGCGTTTACTCTGCCGCTCTTTGTAGCACTTCGTTTCTTAACTTCGGCTCACAGAATGCTCGGTTTGCTTAACTACGTTTAGAGACGCCTACCGTAGCGCTATGACACAACAGCTGACGCGGACCGATCAAGACTGACGCGCGTTGCGACGTAGGCGACCCCTTTTATACTCGCCGCCGCGTATCGCGTATCGCCATATTACCCACGAGCGGAAGCGAGAGGGATTGCGATGTCAGCGTGACAAGCAAGGGTGCAACAGAGTGCACGAGAATATCGGATGAGATGGAATAATGTGAGAGATTGAGAAGGGACATGAAGGAAAGAAACAGCACGTGAAACGCGCGGAATCCACGGCAGAGGGATGGAGAATACAGATCGCGTGAAGCACTCGTTCGAGGTCGATAAAGGAGCTGCTTTTGGAATGGAGATATTTTTTTTTATTCAAGACCAAGTTGTCTGACGTTGATCAATTTTACGCGGTTTAATTCTCTCTCTCTCTCTC